TCAAAGTAAAAGTCAGAAGAATATTAGTAAGAACTTAAGGTCAGGAAGACCTTCTTAAGCAAAACAGCACTCTCAGAGGCCATTCAGAAAATGACCAACATATATGATTATACTAATTACTACCGTAATAATTTTCTTTTTTCCCCAAATACCTGTAGCGACTGAAAGCAATAATGTTTGTTAGATAAAACGTAATGCCTCCAAAAGAAAAATGATTGAATAAGAAGTTAATATCCATTAATCTATAAGGAAAGCTAAATAACTGAACTGAAAACTGGGCAGAAAGATATGAACAGTCAAGTAACAGAAAAAGAAAGACAAGTGCTCAATAAACATGTGAGACAAATTACCTTCTCAGATTTGAGGGAAATGACAGAATAAGTACTTTTGCTCATCTTTGGCAAAGATCGAAAAAAAATGACACTGTGCAGTGTTGGGAAGGATAGAGACCACTATGCTTGGTTATGCATGGGTGCTGAGAGGAGAAATTGCTGCACATCCTTGAAAGGGCAGTTCAGGTCTGTAGCATTGGTGCTGGTATTCACATGCACTGCAAAGGTGATGTTGGTGCTAATCATGTACCTCCAAAACATTAGGTCCAGGCTACACATAACTCTGTAAAAGAAGTGGTGGCATTATTTACATAATTCTGTGACTATATGTTAGTGGTGGTAACCACATCACTCTTCGATGTACATTGTGATATTTACAGAAATCTACAACCTCCGTTGTGATCTTGACCCTATGACAGAGGAGCAGGGCATCGTCCCAAAAATCTGTGGTGCTGATTATGGTCATATTTACATAACTCTGCGATGCTGGTTGTCATTCACATGATAGTGGTGACAGTGGCATTCCCATGATTCTGTGCCATTGGATGTGGTACAAACAGCACTCTGTCATGGTGTCGGTGGTACTTACGTAACTGCAGTATTGTCATGGCAGCCACATCATTCTGCCATGTTGTTCATGGTATTCATTTCACCTCATGATGTTGATGGAGTCATTCACATAATTCTGTGATGTTGGTGGCGGTATTTACGTAACTCAGTGATACTGTTCATGGTATTCACATAACTGTGACATGGGAGGTCACGGTATTCATATAACTCTGAGTGTTGGTATTGACATAGTTTTGCATCATTGTTTATGATGTTTGCATAACTGTGATGCCAGTTGTGGTTTCACGTCATGCTGTAGTGTTGGTGTTGATGATATTAATATATTTCTGCAGCTTTGATTGTGGTAGCCACACAAATCTGTGACATTAGCCACAGTATCCATAAACTCCGTGGTAGTGGTGGTGGTTGTATTCACATAACTCTGTGATAGTGTGGTGTTGTAGCCACATCACTCTGTGATGTTGATTGTATTCATATAACACCACGATGGTGGTCACAGATTGCAAAGTTTATCATGGTGTTTACATAACTCTGGAACATTTGTTATGGTGTCGACATAATTGTACAGCACTGTAGTAATGTTAGTCTCATAACATGGTGATGTTGTTGGTGATGTTTATGTAATTCTCCACTTGTGGTTGTGGTATTCACATGATTGCAGTATTGAAATTGGTAGTGGGGTTCACATAACTGTGAAATTCATCAAAAAGTCCCATACTGCAACCTTCATCACAGTATCACATGATTTTGATGTGGTACACATCAAAACATTGATGGTGGTACACATATAACTGTGCTATGGTTCTGCTGCTGATAATCACACAACTGTGACATTGATTTTGGTACTTGCCTAACACTGTGACATTGGTGCTGGTGGTATTTACATGTTTCTACAATGTTTGTGGTGCTATTCACATAACTGTGATATTGATCATTGCATTTACATAATTCTGTGATGATGGTGGTGGTTGTGTTACTCAAAGTGCAAGAGTGGTGGCTGTATACAGGTAAATCTGTGACATTGTCATTGTTCATGTGACACTGCAGTGTTGTTGCTGGTCATCATATAAATCAATGACATTACTCATGGTGTTCACACAATCTTTTGAAAGTGGTCCTGGTATTTGTGTGACTCTGTAAGGTTGGTGGTAGTAGGATTGACATGCTCTGTGCAGTTCATCATGATGTGCCTGCAACTCTGAGATGACTGCCATGGTATTCACAGAACTGATTCATCATGGTGTTAACATAATTGTGCATTGGGGCTGCTGGTGGTATTCAAATGGCACTGTGACATTGCTGATGGTGGTATTTATATGCTTCTCTATTGGTGGCAGTGGTATTCACATGAATCCATGACATTTGCCATGATAGTCACACAATTTTGCAGCATTGGCTGCTGGGGTATTCATAATGTCTCTGACAGTGAATGCGGTGTTCACATAACTCTCTTGCCAGTGATGGGATTCATGTAATTTTGCATCATTGTTGTTGGTATTTATGTAGCTCCGTGGTGTTAGTCATGGTACTATTCACAATATTCTTTGATAGTGGTCATGATCATATGTGGATAACAGCAAAATTGGCTGTGTTATTCTAATAAATCTGTAAGTTATTAATGGTGGCATTGACATGACTCTGCAATGACAGAGGAGGCAGTACTCATCTAACTCTGAGATGCTGGTCATGTCATTGACAAATTCCATGAAGTTGATGCAGGTGGTACTCTACTCTGGTGGTCACGATATTCATATAACTGTGATGGTGGTTGTGGTATTCAAATAACCCTGCAACTTGGTCATGTTATTCACATAACCCTGTGATGGTAGTGTTGGTGGTATTCCCATAACTATATCATTGGTTGCCTATTCACATAGCTCTGTCACGTTGAACGTGGTATTCACATCATGTTGTGACATCAGTAGTAGTGGTATTCACCTAACTTTATGGTATGATAGTGGTGGGGTTTATATTCACATAACTGCAGTGTTGCTCCTGGTGGTATTCTTATAAACATGTAATGTTGGATGAGGTTGCAAATCATCACTCTGCAGCAATGGTGGTGGCATTCATATAACTCTGCAACACTGGTCATAGTTTTTACTTAACTTTGTGATAATGGATGGAGTATTTGCATAATTCTGTGACTCTAGTCATGTTATTTATATAAATATACTCATTCCCTAGCATCCACGGAGTGGTTTCAGGACCCTCTAGGATATCACAATTAATAGATGCTCAGATTCCTTATATAATATGGTATAGTATTATATGTAGCCTATATATATGCTCCTATATACTTTGAATTCTCTATGATACCTAATATAAGTGCTATGTAAATAGTTGTTGAACTGAATTGTTTATTTGCATTACTTTTATCTATTTTACTATTTTCAATCCACGGTTTGTTGAATCTGTGAATGGGGGACATGCACACATGTAGACTGACTGTATATGTCCATGGTGGGGCATGTAGTTATACAACTCTGTAATGGTAGTGGTAGTGTTAACATAACTCTGAATTGTTCACAGTTTTCACAAAACTCTATGGCATTGTTGTGATATTTATGTAATTCCACGGTGATTGTGGTGGTATTTGTGTAACTCTACCACACTTTTTTGGTGGTATTTTCACAATTCTCATAAATCTGGGACAGCATGGTGGTGGTGGTATTCCCATAATTCTGTGACATTGGCGTTCAGGGTATTCACTTAACTCTGTTCGAGTCATGATATTCATATAACTTTGTGACATAAGTCACGGTTTTCATGTAACTCTGCAATGGTGGCTGTGGTATTTGGGTAATTCTGTGGCTTTGATGCTGGTGGTATTCACATACCTCTGTGACATTGGTCCTATTATTCACAAGAACCTGTGATGTTGGTTGTCATAATCACATAACTGCAATGTTGATGGTAGCCTAATTAATATTTCTCTGTGACATTAATCATGAAACTCACATAACGATGGTGGTGCTATTCAAATATCTGTCTTGGTAGTGGTATTCTCTTAATACTGCCAGAGTAGTTGAGGTATTCAAGTAATTCTGTGACGATGGTTGTAGTGGTAGTCATATAACTCTGATGGTGTTAGGAGTGGTAATCCCGTGAGTCTGCAAAGTTTGTTATGGTCTTCACATATCTTGGTGACAATGGTGATATTGGCGCTGGTGCAATGGTGAGAATAATAATGACATTTATGGGTGTAGAGACAGGCTCAGGAAAATTTAAAGTTTATAAGAAGATATGACAAAGCCAGCCTCCAATTTATATTTTCTAAATAATTCAAATGCAGATTTTTCTGTACCATACCGTGAGATCTATTCCTGCTAAATCTAAGGCCTTTATCTAAAAAATTTATATCTTCAAACTCCCCAAAGGCTTTGGAACATAAAAATTGTATCTAGTTATTTATCCATAACTTTAGTTATGTCCGTATACTTACACATACACATTTTCATGTGTGAAACTGATCAAAATTTAGCTATAAATTTAGATGTATAAATCTGAGCTGCTAAAATTTTATGATCATGCAGAAGAGAACCTTCTGGTAAACCAAAGTAAATCACCTTTGAGAGTAATCTGTAGTTCATAGAACCCAAAATATGTTTATTAGACAATGACATTTGATGTTGATGAAAATGTTGGCCATATTATGTTTTCATTGTTTCTCTAAAAATTATAAACCTGTAGAAGCCTTGTAAAAGACTAGAAATACAATGTTGAAGTCTGGGTGGTGGTTTCATGGCAAATATATGTTTAACCAATCATTGAATTAAACATTTAATATGCTTGCATTTCACAGTATATACGTTATACCTCAACAAAAGCTTTAAAAAGTGTACATCCAAATAAGATGAAAATACGAATAGGTTTTAGAAAAAGTCCAGTGTAGTGCCAATCTAACCACTCATGATATTTTCTGTGGCTGTGAGTTATTGCTTTTATAGAAACAAAACAAAGCCTCACCATAGAATTTAAAGTTAAAGTGTGATTTAAGAAATGTGTATGGCTCCCAAAAATGCCCTTGTGTCGTTAGGAGTTGTCTCTTTATCTCAGTTCTCAGGGCTCACTATTTACATTTTTTTCCCCCTGCAGTACCTGGGGTGCATTGAAGTTCTGCGCTCAATGAGGTCTCTTGACTTCAGTACAAGAACACAAATTACCAGGTAAGCCTTCTTGAAAATGGGCTTCTGGGATTTTACCTCAGAAGGAAATATCTCAGAGGTTAACAGCTCAGACATTTTTAGAAGTAAAAACTGACCCTTGGAGGGTTGGTGGCTAGTGACAGTGAGTCAGGACTATCCTTGTCTCAAGACATGTGGTTGTTCATCCATGTTTGCGTCTCTCTCAACCAAAGTACCTTGAAGGACACTTTGCCCTTGCACGCTCTTTTTATAATTTAGCTGCAGACATATGGAGCAGCTGAGTATTTATGTTTGTTTCTTTAATGTGTGAAACTCGAATACAAGATTGGTATTTAAGAATGTACTGAGCCATGTTCTTTTTAAAAAAGAAAATCAAGATGTCAAGAGAGGCTTTCCAACAATATACACAGAGAGTAAAATGCATAGAATTGGAAGTAGAAACAGCCATGGGAGTAGGTCATTCAGCAAGCAGACCAATTCTTTAAGGTGTCTGTGACTTCCAACAGGTTATATATATTCTCCACCACCAAGTAGAATTGAAGCTTCCTGAGGGCCAGTATTTAAGCACTGGTTTTTAAAAAATAAGATGTTATGCTCTAGTATAGTTCCTAGTAGAGCTTACATCTTTAGGAAAATGCCAGTTTCAAGCCAGCTTGAAGAGGAGAACTGGAAATCTAGGACAGAGTCTGTGAAACTGCTACATTTCTGTGGCCAGGAGCTTAGGTTGCTTTGGCACTTATGCAGTCACTTAATTTAAATAGTAACCTCAGAAAAATACCTCATATTTACTTTATTCAAATCATTCTATTGTGTATACTTGGATCAGCAAGCCAAGTGTAAAGACTGAGCTTTAGAAAGCAATTGGTTGTAGTCATTAGCTGCTAAGAAACATACACACCTCGATTCTGTTCTAAGTACCATAATACCTCTTCTTCCTCACTGAAGAAATTCATAGTTAAATAGTTATTTTTTTTCCTCTTTCCTAAGTACCTTGAAACATACAGATTGTGAATGTATCAGTAATCTACATGAAGGAAGGAATCCACTTCCACATATTTGTAGAAAAATGGTTTATGAAAATTTCAAAGACAATGGAATGATATTTTGAATACAAGAGTACTGTGGTTAAAAGAAAAAGCTTGAGTGTTTGCTTAGTCATTTCTTCACCTTACTCATGAAAAGGTATGGCAGTGGCATCATGATGGGCAGAGCACCGTGCCAGTGCCTGGAGGAATGTGTGACATTGGTCATGTTCTCCTGTGTGGTAGTTGTTTTTAAAGGAATTACAGTCAACTGGGAGAAAAGTGTCAACCATTCCTACTGGGTTCCCTTTCTAGATGCTAGGATTTCTGAGGTGATTTCATGTCATCTTAAGCATCTATGGCTGATTGTGCACACGTAACATGCTGGACAACATGGCTATCCTGCTTTGCTAGGCCTCTCAGTGTTGGAGAAAGGTATATACACAAATGATTGAGGGGCATCTGAGGGGCATCGAACAAGTTCTGCTCCTTGGGGTAGTGGTGGGGTGGAAGAACAAGTGAATAATTCCAATTTTCTCTTTGATGAAGATACAACTCCTGGGACTCTCCAGGGTAGAACTCAGATGGGCAGAAGTAATAACATTGTAGAAGAAAGCAGTTGCAACAGGCATTGATGGATTTGGAGGTTTTGATGTCTCTCTTCAAACCCGTTCCATTTAGATTTTTGGGAAGGTGACACAGCATAATGTGGCAAGTAGAGAATGATTCTTGTACTTAAGAAACTTGGTGTCGAATTCTGTTTGTGCCAGAATTGCCTTGGGTTTTATTAGACTTCTTGAGAGCTACGTTTGCTTGTCTCCATGATGCTTCCTGTCTCTTCCATCATTTTTAGCACGTGACATGTTTCTTACTTTAGCTAATAGCTGGAGGTCACACGAAGGAAACAATTTGACAAATCAACTTCGGAACGAAGCCCTTTGCATCCAGTTGAAGAATATACAGCAATGTCTTGTAGATGTAGCACACAGTGGAGCTTTTAAGGTCTCTGTGGTAACTAAGTGTTAAACAAACCTGTGATTAAACTCCACTGCCATGGTTTACTTTATATACTAAAGAGATTCTTGGAAGGTTATAGGAAAGTCTAATGTTCTAACTAAGTTATATTATACAGGCATCAGGAAAACTGGTTTCCAAAGGCATTCCAGTTACACCTCTTATTAAAAAATATTTTATAAAGAGATAATTAACACCTACTTATCTGTTCAATTAAAAATTTTGCTCCTACAGCAGAGCTTCACTCCCAGCATTTCACTTTGTATACACAAATGTGGGGACTCCACTTCAGAATTGAGGTGTTTTGAAAACTACCCAGGAATATGCATAAAATCTTCTTAGTTGGAAACATATGAAAGAAAAATATCTTTCTTTTTGGAAAGGTATTTCCTTTTTGTTCTTTTTCAGTGTATTGGCTGGATTCTGAGGAGACATTTATCACTGATGTCAGTGTGTGTGTACTGTAGTTCATTCGGAGTGTGGCCTGCTACATAAACAACAAAGCATAGGTATAAATGAAGGAACATGTGGATCAGCCATCAGTGCATGAGTGAACTGAATGCTATGAAATTGCATAATTTTCTGTTGGATATTTCATGGGAGAGACTTTGCTTAGAAGTTAGCTGAGTAATCATGTGATCTTGATCTAAAAGTGTTAAGCATTCAGTAGGGCTTTGAGTCTACACAAACAAGCAAACAAACCCTGGTGAGATGAAGAAGGGAACAGGAGACTGGAGATGGCTGAATTGCGGATGTTGGTGAGAATCACAACCTGGCAGGCATGGGGATGGTCTGCTTGCCAGCCCTCTGCATGGTGGGTTTCATCTTCAGCTTGAAGAAGAGCAGGCCAGACAAGACCACAGCACAGCTTTGCAACTCTGTCCACCCTCTCTTCTCTTCTAAGAGTTCACTTGGAAGACTTAGCACAACTCTACTCTCGGGTCACTTCCAGCTTCCAACATTCTATAAATGCTCTCAGAAAACAAAAGTCCAAGGTAAAAACTTTCACCTCACAATCTTTCCATTCCATCGTGTCTCTGAGCATCCTTACCCATGTGCATTCCATTCCAACTCTATGTATGTATTGTGTGCATGAGCTGGGTGTGCACCCTCATTGGACTTTCTGCAATGGAGGAGCCAACCAGACTACATGCTGGGCACCATGACCCGAGGGAAGGACCTCCTTCACCCATGCATCCACTGTGACCTCTACCTCTCTCTTCAGACATTTCTGTGTTGTGTGGATGTTTAATCACAAGTTCATTTGGGGATGGAAACAATGCCTATTGTTTTAAGACAGGCTGCATTTACTAACAAGATATTTGTGTGGTTTGTAGAGAATTTCCTGTCTTCAGGACCTGGTCCAGGCTAGGAGAAGCTATGTGGAGTGGAAAATGGACACTGAGGAAGAATGGCAGGTAAGGTCAGGCCTCCTTGGAACCTCAGAGAATGTCAGTAGTTGAGGAATGCTTTGAAGGTTCCATTATATCTGCCCAGTTGAATGAAGTGTATTCCCATATGCAGGTCAATGGGATCTGAATATTTTTGTTCAGATTTTGTGGTAATAATTTCTTCTTTGAGAGTGGGTAGCATGAACTCTACTAAGTGAGCATGAATTGGCTGCAGCTGTTCTATGTTAATGAAGGTCATTCTGTTAGTGTTAGGGTGACTTTCTCATTTTTGCAAACACTGGGATGTAACTTTGAAGAGTCCCATATTTGGAAATCCATTATAGGAACCATGCTAAGATATTTTTATACCTGGCACAGGATATAGAAAACAAAGTGGACTTTTGCTCATGGGCTTCCTTAGATCTGGTAAGAAATCTTATCTATAGATTAGATCTTTACAATTTGACTTCAGTCATGCATCAGGGATATACGCATTTCTTTTTTTTTCTTTTTTCTTTTTCTTTTTTTTTTTTTTTTTTGAGACAGAGTTTTACTCCTGTTGTCTAGCCTGGAATGCAATGATGCGATCTCAGCTCACTGCAACCTCTGCCTCCCAGGCTCAAGTGATCCTCCCACCTCAGCCTCCTAAGTAGCTGGGACCACAGGTGCATGCCACCATGCCCAGCTAATTTTTGTATTTTTTTTTGTAGCGGTAGGGTTTTGCCATGTTGGCCAGGCTGGTCTCCAGCTCTTGGCGTCAAGCAATCCATTTGCCTCGGCCTCCCAGTGTGCTGGGATTATAGGCATGAGCCACTGTGCCTAGCCACCGTGTCCAGCCACCATGCCTGGGCAGGGATAGGTTCTGAGAGATGAGTCGTTAGGCAATTTTGCCATTGTGCCAACATCTAGCACTTAGGCTAGATGCTCTAACCTACTACACACCTAGGCTACATGGCATAACCAACCCGTTGCTCCTAGGCTACAATCCTGCACAGCACGTGACTGTGCCGAATTCTGTAGGCAATCGAAACACAGTGGTAAGTATTTGTGTATCTGTCATATCTAAGCACAGAAAAGGTATAGTAAAAATACATTATTATAATCTTATGGGACCACCTTGATATAGTCGGCTCATCATTGACTGAAATGTTTATGTGGTATGTGTACTTGATTATAATATTTCCGAATTCCTTTTTCTCTGCAAAATAAACACTTTTAATGTTGATTTAAGTTAAATGTGCCAGGGAGAGGGAAAGGAGTAAATCTATTTTTATAGATTCTCTGAGGCTGGTTGAATCTCAGAATTAGAACAGAGAGCAGTGGTGTGAATTACCCACCACCCCACTCCACCCCAGCCCTGATCCCTGTGCATTTGGGTGGTGCACAATGGCTAGCTTTTGGATTTTAGCCTTACGGGCTCTTTCTAAATGTGCTTATTCTGAACATGTTTCCTGGCCAAGCCTCTCTCAGCCTGTACTTGCAGAAGGGTGAGGCCTGGCAGGAAGGGGTTGGTGCTGTCTTGGTTTAGAGTCCTTTTTGAAAATACCAGATTGCCTGTGTGTGCATGCATCCTGCCTTTGGAATAAAGTAAGCT